TTTGAAATAATTTGCAATAAAAATATTTTACACTTTTTTAAAGACATTTCTAGAGTTGGAGGAAATGGTGACTAAAACCCACGGCAATAGAGATTTTGGTGACTTGAAAGCAATGCCCAAACCAAGGGATACCGCACCCAAAGTGACTGTCAATAATATAAGTGCCAAATGGACTGAAGTATGAATATATTACATACATTTTTACATAGACTGTACATAAATATAATCTTATTATCACAGGAAAGTCCGAATCCAACCCTTCAGAATATATCGTTTAGATTAAAACCGGGAGATCTGTTAGCAGTGATCGGACCGGTCGGCGCCGGCAAAGTATTTATATCTTGAAAATTATGGTAAATTTTATTATAATGCATGTAATCATTAATATTTTCTATTTAGAGCTCACTATTAATGACAATATTAGAAGAGCTGTCGGTGTTTGAAGGGAGCATTCAAACGGTGGGATCGATAAGCTATGCCTCTCAGGAGCCCTGGAATTTCAATAATAGTGTCCGAAATAATATACTCTTTGGTACCGAATATAACGAATCCCGATATAAGCGAGTGGTAGAGGTGTGCGCTTTGAAGAGGGATTTCCAGATATTCCCGTTCGGAGACAAGACATTAGTCGGTGAGAGAGGGGTATCGCTATCGGGGGGACAGAAGGCCCGCATCACGTTAGCCAGGTTTGTGTGCACATATTTAGACATATTTACAGCAATTATTAAAATATTGTGTTATCTTATTATTAAGATAATATAATAATTAATGCCGATATACTATCGTATATAATGGTTGATCCAATTAAAAAATTTTATTACTCACGATTAGTATTTGTAATTATTATAGTATAGAATTACAGTTTTATATAACAATAATGTTTTTTATAAATCTTTGTCATATAATTTTTAAATAATTAATAATTAAACATCTAGTTTATATATAAGTTATACAAAATAATTATAAGAATCATTATTTTTTATTCAAAAATTTTTTATAGCGAAACCACATTTTAAAACAAATGTTACATAAAATTTCATTTTTAATAATTAAGAAAAAATTACTCGAACTAATAATTGAACTACATTTTAAATTAAATAAAACCACAAAATATTACTAAAATTATACCACATTAATTTCATTAATTAGTAAATTAGTAATAACAAAGTATTTTTATTATTTTATTTATAAAATAAATATACTATAATTTAATTATTAATAATTGCGGATAGCGTAAAGAACCGAAAATAGTGTATTGCTTAGATAACAATAGATTTTAAAATGATAAGATGTGCCAATTACAGCCTGTGATTAAATAATCAAAATGTATTTATTCTCACAATAAATTTTTAAAATTACAAATACAATATGTTATGATGGTAATGAAATACTTGTATAATAAACAAAAATATAACAGTATTTAATTGGATTAACCATTATATTTATTTAAGTAAAAACTCACCTTTGCATATTTTGTATCCAAAAATCCTATATTTTCAAATATTTTATATTAATTTTGTGGCACTTTATTGTTTACAATACAGTTTGAATACAGAATAACTAATTTTAACTTAAATTTTTAAAGATCTAACAATTTTGTAGCATTTAACTACAATTGTATGTTTTATTTAAAGATTAATTTTATTAATTTGACCAGACTACAAAATTAATTCAAGCAATCCCTTAGTATCCAACTTAACATGTTACATATTGCAATTTTTGTGCATAAAATAAATTATTATTAGACTACAGTTTGTATTGATTAAAATTTTATCATTAAGAATCTTTATTGTTTTTAGAACTTAATTATTAGTAACCAGATTAGATAATTTAATTTAAATTACAATAATAATCACTATTAAATATAAAATAATTACCATGATTTGCGTTAAAATTTAATTCAGGTATTTATTATAAAATTATATCAAAATCACTGACAATATTTGTAAAGTATTCCAAATTAAGATTTATTTAAATTAAATTTACATTTTAAAACTCTAAGGATAAAACATTACAGTCTGCATTTAGTTTTTATTTATCCATTTTTACTAAACGAATTGATTGATTTATTAGATCAAATTTTATTTAAAAAATATAATGTCAAATATAAATAACTATAAATTAATCATTTAAAATATTTTCTTAATTGAGTTTTAATAATAATAGCCATTATTTGTGTGTTATGTAGAGCACTGTACCGAAACTCAGACATCGTATTAATGGACGACCCGTTGAGTGCTGTCGACACTAGTGTTGCCGAACATATATTTGATAAGTAATGCAATTATTGTTATAATTATGATTACAAATAAGTTTAACATATAATGTATTCGCGATATAATGAACACCAGATGTATAGTCGACTACTTGTGCAACAAAATCCGTATTCTAGTCACACATCAAATCCAATTCATACGAAAAGCGACACAAATATTGGTTTTGNCGTATTCTAGTCACACATCAAATCCAATTCATACGAAAAGCGACACAAATATTGGTTTTGAACGACGAGGGAAAGTGTCTGGGATTGGGATCCTATGATGAGCTCCAGTCCCGGGGCTTAGACTTCATGACACTCTTGAAAGATGAGAGCAAAGAGACGACAACACCGGTCACTACAGTCGAGGACAAGAATTTAGTGCATTTGGATAGGGATTCACTGATGCGGTCGTTCTCTATGACTAGTGTTGAGGCCAAAAAGGACCGCAATCTAACCAAGAGTAGTGCCTCCATCACTGATAGTATTGATATGGCTAATGTAAGTTATGTTTCACTTATTAAATTAGGTATTTTATTTATTATTAGTTAACATGTTACTTTATAAGAAATAAATAATAAAATAAGTGCGTGAGAGAGAGAGAGAGAGAGAGAGAG